AGAGCCAGCTCAATGGGAAGAACAAGATCCATGCCATCAACATGTAAATCCTGCCAGTTATCAGATACCCTGCTGGTATAGTGAGCTGGCCAAAGGAAGACCCAGAAGCTCCTCACAATGTACGGAGGTTTCCACCCCAAGTCCAACACCCAGAGATTGTACACCAGCCACAAAGAGGATGGGCGGGGTCTGATGAGTGTCAAAGCCACTGTCCTGGACGAAACCCGGAACATCCAGGAATGCATCAGTAAAATGGCACCCAAAGATGAGCTGCTGAGAGAATACCTGAGGCAGCAGCAGGCATGGGAGGCAATTCAAGTGGAGGAAGTACCATAGCAAGACAAGCCCCTGCATAGGATGTACCATCAACAGAATGCTGAGGTAGCTGACATTGGGAAATCCTATCAGTGGCTGGAAAGGGCCAGACTAAAAGACAGCACTGAGTCACTGTTCATAGCAGCACAAGAACAGGCACTAAGCACCACATCTATAGAAGCAGAGGTCTACCACACTAGACAGGACCCAAGGTGCAGATTGTGCAAAGAGGCCTCAAAGACACTCCAACACATAGTGGCGGGGTGTAAGATATAGGCAGGAACAGCATATACTGAACAGCACAACCAAATAGCTGACATTGTATATAGAGACATCTGCACAGTGTATAGGCTAGACTCTCCCAAGTCCGGATGGGATATTCGACAGAAGGTCATGGACAATAACAGGGCTAAGATCCTGTGGGACTTCCAGATCCAGACAGAGAGGCAGGTACTGGCCAATCAGCTAGACATTATGGTAGTAGACAAGAACCAGAATACAGCGATGGAGATAGATGTAGCAGTGCCAAGTGACAGCAACATCAGGAAGGAGTATGAGAAGCTGGAGAAGTACCAGGGCCTGAAGGAAGAACTTGAGAGGATGTGGAAAGTAAAAGCCAAAGTGGTCCCAGTGGTGGTAGGAGCACTTGGGGCTATGACTCTTAGGCTGGGAGAGTGGCTCCAACAGATCCCAGGAACAACATCAGAGCTCTCTGTCCAGAAGAGTGCAATGGTAGGAACAGCTAAGATTCTGTGCAGAACCCTCAAACTCCTAGGCCTCTGGTAGAAGACCCAAGATTGAGGTAGACACATACCACCCATAGGGGTGAGAGAGGAATTTTTAAACATGTTACTCTTTCTTTCCTTTCTGCATACTTCTTAATGTCTCTGTGCTGGATTATCTTTTTCCAATTTTGCTTCCATAAAGATTTTAAGGTTTATGTCTGAGTTTCTAT